TTGAAAAAGCCGTTTAACTCTCTTCTTCATTAGAAATTATTTATTTCTAAAGAATTAAATGATTTTTATTCATAATCTAGTATTATTTTTTATACTATACCTTCCTGGGTATGACGATAAACTACATCCGTATCTTGGGTAAAACGATTACGTTCAACAGCAAGGAATCTGATCAGGAGGTTTTGAGGAGAGTGGAACCACCTCTTAATTCCTGTGTTCCGAGGTTCACTCTGATTCGGGGTGGTGTTAGGGTTCCTGCTATGGGCATATAGTTAACCCCCAAACTAGGATCAAAATACTATGGAAGTATAAAAATAGGTTTAATACCAGAAATAATTTGTAAAAAATTATTACCAACAATAAATTTTTGAAAAAAAATTTTAACCAGCAATACATTATTACCAGCGATACATTTTGGAAAAAAATGTTACCAGCGATACATTTTAAAGAAAAATATTACCAGAGCTAGATTTTTGAAGGGAAAAAAATATTACCAGCAATAAAAATTTTGTCGGCATTAAATAACCCAATGAGATTGATATGCCATAAAAAAAAACAAAAAACAAAACAAACAAAATGTTATACTATAAACGCTATATTACTTGCTAAACATGTTTGAGTAAATAACCTTGCTTTAAAAAAGTGAAATCGGCTTGATATTCGAGAGTCTTTAATAAAGAAAATGTGCCTATGTAGTGATTCACATAACTGATTCGTTTTTTACGGCTTATCAACCCGTTGCAGGTTACGTAAAACCAGAAAATAGTTTTAGATTGTTAGAATTTTTTTTGAGATAATAATGATTTACTGATACACGTTTTACTAATTAACCTATAGCTACGGGGAGAATAGATGGATTTATAGCTTTGTCAAATATATTTACGCATAAGTGAATATAACAAACGCAACAGGAATTGGAACTCGGTTCTCCGATTAACAATTCCGAGCTATTATCCATTACACCACCCGCACTTCCAAGCTTACAGTAACTGGTATCCCCAAGCACCTGATTCGCATGAAACGTTTCTATCTGCATGGTCAAGTGGCGAATAAAACATTTCAGTGTGGTTTCTGTAATCGAATTGTTCTATATCGTGGTGTGATTGGCCCCATTGCCAAACTACCTTTCTTTACTCTGAAACATAATGACAATAATGAGGCAGCAAGTGAGGATCAAACAATACGTAAGTAGAGGCATTCAGGTGACCCCTCGTCGAGATTTTCTTTAGGACACGACTCTTACCACTATTGTACGTAAAAATGCATATACAAGTATATATACACAAAGTTCGAGAGCCGAGTTCGAATTCCAGCCAAGTCCATTACATCCACTTACGTGCTAATACCCTTGGAAAAGGTATGAATTCGCTTCAGCTATAGGTAAATAGCAGGAAAGATTGGGTTCTATAGCCTTGGATGGTAGCTGGTCTACCGCAGAAAGAAATGGCAAATTTTCTACTACGGGAAAAAAAAAATCTGCCTCGTCAGCCATGCATCGAAAGATACACGATCACCTAACTGACTGATATGTTTGTTTCCATGCGATGGTTTTTCTTGTTGCAGTGGCGGGCTCGCGTGTCCCTGTCATCTGATGTTCCAAATCCTGAAGAGCAACCCGTGGCGACAAGGTTATGGAAACGTCGGAAATAGACAAAAATGATTTAAACGATCTCATTGACCAAACCGGCAGCACCTGTCGGGATGACTTAACCAAAGCGGACCTTGACAGAGCAAGTATCCGGCAGCCCGATGCAGCCAGGTTTGCCAGATCCCGCCTGTGTCAATCCCCATTTGAGCTGCGATGTAGGCGTTTCTGGCCAAGTGTGTGGGCTTCGTCGCACCAAAATCAAATCCATGCAAATGGTGTCAGCAAACTCTCATTTGAGAGAATGATGATCCCAATGCTCGGATGCGAGCGGGTGCCGATGACAATGTTTGTGTGAAACAATGCATTTAACTATTTGTATTTTGTGAAAATGGCGACTTTTTTTACTTTTTAATTAGCAATGTATCGATCAAAACCAAACTGTCAGAATGTATTATAAAAAATCTTTTGCGATAAAAGACAGATAGATATGAACAGATCGACATAGACAATGAACAGTCTGAAATAGATTAATGGATAGACAGATCGATAGTTAGATAGATAGATTGATAGATAAATAGATATGAACAGACCTAGATAGATAGTTAGATATGAACACAGCTAGCTAGCTAGATATATAGATATGAACAGACCGAGATAGATAGATAGATAGATAGACGTAGGCAGACAGATAAGAATAGAGTGAAGTAGATAAATAAATAGACAGATCGATAGTTAGATACCCTGAAGAAGCTATGAATAAATAGACATATATGGGCAGACTGAAATAGATATATAGTCAGATAGAGAGAAAGAGAAAATGATAGAAGTAAAGAGAGAGACACATACAAAATAGAGATATATTCTTAATAATGATACTTCATTAAGTGGGATGGATCGGATTTTTTTGTCAATATGTAATAAACGGTTGATCGTAATAAATGGTTTATTGGAAAATCCTGGAAACTGTGAAAAATTGCGAATTTAAATTATTTTTATTTTCACTCCCGTAGTCATGGACCTTACATTCTTGTCTGTGATGTCTGGGAGACTGGTCATTTCCTCACTGGGGTGGGTGTTAATATAACTACGTGTCATACAGTTCTTTCTCCCGTTTGCAACCCAGGTGCAGCTGGTCTAGTTACGTGTGTCAGCGCTCAGAGTGGTCACGTAATGATAACATTGTACCTGACATCCTTGATGACTTGTTGCGTTATTGAGTGCAAAACTAATTCTGGCATGATCTAGAGTAAGGCACGCACTGTATAGGTCTTGTAAGGGGTTAAGTAATCTTGAGGATTTTGTTGTCGTTTGATAACGAACACCAGTAAACGAAATCGAGAAAATGCAAATAAGATTATAAATGTTTACTAGACCATCCGTGACCAGCTGGGTCACTGATGGTTCAGATTATCAAACATTGAAGGTAATGTCAACATTCCACTGAAATGAAAGTCAATTTTATTATGATTCAGTTATATATTTCAATTCGTTCGGGTCATCATTTGTTTGGTTTCATTTTTAACGTTTTAGGGATTATTTAATAGGAATTGAACTTCTGGGATAAATGTAAATTTTAAATCATAATAACTTAAAAATATTTTTAATATGCCGAGAAATATTTTAAAATCATATTCACTTGAAAATATTTTTAAAATATGCCAAGGAATATTTTTTTAAATATTTAAAATATTGTTTGTTTAAAGAAAGCTGCAATATAAATAATTACTTAAAAAAAAATTGGATGAAACAGCAAAGCGGCATCTCTTTGTGTCTGTCTTTAACTCCAAAATAATTTAATTAAAAACATGTCTCTTTGAAGAAAGTTAAAATAAAAATACTTACTGTATAAGCAACTGGCATTTTAAAATCTTATTCCCTTAAATCAGATTAACTTAAATCATTATGCACCGGACGGATGCAGTACACAAGCATTCATGCAATCACAGACTGTTATATTCCGTGCTAATAGGAATATGGAATGGACACACATGGTAAATAAATAGTAACAGGTTTATTGTAGAAACCAGTACAACAAGCAAGGAAGTAATAGTTATGCCCACGGTCGTCGCAAGTCAGTACAGTTGTGTGCTTGCTGCTATCGGAAGGTCACTAGTCTCGCATTTAGTAACTGCTCCACGCAGTCTCATGTTGCACAAGGCCGAATTTAAAGTGGGGTTCCTGAGCCTGGAGGTTCGGCCAAAAAATCCCCGTAGACCCCGCATAAACGGGATCGGGTCTGTCTACCACCCCGGACGAAACTCTGCCCTTCGGCATAGCCTCGTTCGGGTTCCTCTCTGCACGAAGGCAGAGAGTTCGACTAGCGCAGCTGGGAAAGATCCCAACGCGACTCTACTGTCCGCTGTCCTAACGGACACTTATAGGTGATTGCTACCTATAGTGGCACTGCACATGGGGGTGACAGGTTATTCCATTACATGACTTTTAGTATTATATAGATATGATTGAATTTGTTACGGTTTATCAACCCTTAGCGGGTGCTTTTAAAGTCGAAACATATCCCGGATTGTAGGAGGTTGCTTGCAGTATACGGTCTTTCAAAGCGGTCCCCCATCGAATTATTGACCGACCTCGACATTGTTTAACTTTAGTGATTCGAAGAGAAACAGTGTTTTCGACACGGTTTGAGTGTAATCTGTTTCTGATAGTAATAATACTGATGGTGATGACACTCGTTGTTAACTAGGAATAATCTTCGCTCTCTCTGCTAAATTTTAATGATTGCAGGTAACTGAATGTGATGCCCAAGCGTCCTTCATCGGGAAGGCGTCTAATGTACTAATTTATCCCATTTTGAATCCAAAACTAAATAAAAAAATATCAAAAAACAACAAAATAAACAACAACAATAATAACAACGTTAAAAAGCTTCTAGTTAAAAGCAGTCATTTTAATGGTTAGGGAAAAAAATGAGTGTAAAAATAAATTAAGAGAGTTGACGTTATTTTTCTGTGTCACAAAAGATAGTTTTTTCATTCAGGCACTTTTCAATTAATTCACGTTTTTGTCTTAGCGTGTCACAACAACCATTAATACCCATACAAGGAATTTAAAATTAAAAAAAAAAAAATTCCGATCTAGTTCTCTTACATTGATAGCTCAGAATGTGTACTGCTCATAAAATGCAGTTACACATCAGTGCTACATCGAGATCGCTTACATCGTGAACAGTTGAAATTGTAAAGTTCTGAAAGTGTCTACTATATGTTAAACTCTTCTTTCTTTCTTTCTTTCTTTCTTTATATATACAGTTTAAGTACACATATACTTATATATAATGGATATTATAAGATCAGTTATATATATATATATTTTAGTTAACAATATATATATGTGTATGTGTATACCTATATATGTGTGCGTGTGTGTGAGTATACCTATATATATATGTAAGTCGTGAATAATTCTCTCTCCATATCTATCTATCTATCTATCTATCTATCTATATCTATCTATCTATGTGTGTGTCTGTGTGTATTTAGGCAGCATATGTTCATTCAAACAGGTTTGGTTAAATAATTAAGATATATAAAAAGTAATTCTAAAAAGACTCATAAACCCTAATATATCTCCTCCTGAGTCAAGTAAAAAAATAAAATTAATTATACACTATACTAAATTTAATACAACCAACCTAGTTGTCCTAAACAATTCTCTACCGTCAACTAGCATCTTACAAAAGACCAATATTGTATATCAATTTAGATATCCTTTAGGAGGTTGTATATCTGATGAAAATGTTAATAAGTTTGTTGGTTTTGCCTACGACGATGCTAACAAAAAGGCTTACGTCCCATTTGGATGAGCATAGTTCAATCTCACAGCATTTATTAAATTAAACTAGGCGAAGAAGCAAAAATTAAAAAAAAATTCTTATAAATGGGTCATGACCAGTAGATTGGCAGCTAACGGCAGCAGACATAAAAATGAGTGAACGTGAATGGATACATTAATTTAATTTTGTAATTTTTGCTTCATCGATTAGTTTAAATTTAACGTAAGTCATATTTGATTGGTTGATCAGAGTAAAGCCTACAAACCTTATACCCCCATTTTTCTTTTTCGCAAAAAAGAGGTTGCATTTTGATTTTAAAACTAAATAAATCTTTCTCTCCCTAGTAATTTACAATCGACAGATGAGATACGCATCGAAACACGACTCCAATTATGTAGTGATTTTGACATGTTTTTGGTGTAATATCCTAAAATAAATAATATTGCTCTATATTGTATTAAGCTCTCTTTTAAATTAAATGTTACGTCCGTTGGAAGTGTACTCTATTCGTTCTCATCCTACATGGAGTACTCACGACAAAGATGCATTTTTGTTTCGATGAGAATGCATCGCGACAGGTGTGGAACAAAGATGCTGACCATCTTTGTTCCTCACCTGTCGAGATACTCTTGGTATTAAACCCGCTTTTAAATTAATGCTATGAACGTTTGAATTCATATTCTTTTCATTCTCGTTACATTTGAAAATATATATATATATATATATATATATATATATATATATATATATATATAATTTAGAATCTTTTATGTACAGTTTTATATGTACGAATGTATAGTTTCTAGTATATACGTCTGTATTTTTGTTTGGATTTCTGTTTATGCTAATGCTAATTTTGTTAGAATTTTTGGGTACGTTAGTACTAGTGAGCTAGCCAAAATGAGCTGACTCATTTTATAGTTCACCGATAGAAGGGTTAACCAATCAGAAAGCTCAAATTATTCAATGCGACGTGTATAAAGGCAGCCATGTTTTTTTTCCGAATATTCACGGCCAACCTCTGATATCGAAGAATTACAGAACAGCTGCTGGTGGCATCCAGTAGAATGTCTGGCTCGTGAGTATTACTCTTTAACGTTGTTTTATTGAACAGATTACGTACTGCGCTGTATTTTATATTCATAGACTTGGCGAACATGGTCAACAAATTTATCATTTGTTATCTTCTCTATATGTTTTTCTCGTTCAACTCTGTGCTTCTGACACCTGAAATCTGAAATTTTATTCGGTGATTTTTTTTCCTCTCTCAATAAGAGTAAATAGGTTTCCTTATCGTTCGGTTCACAGTCAGTCCCCAGTCTTTTAACCAGGAGTAGAGCTCCATGTCCCGTACTCTGTTTAGCGTTGTGTTTCCAGTTCCTTTCAAATGTCTACCTCAACTCTATACCCCTAACGTCTGCGCCTGAACACTGAAATTTTATTCGCTAATTTATTATTTATGTCTAGAAATAGATGTCTATCTTCTCCGGTTATCTTGCCATCTGTAACGTTCATGAAAATCCACGCAGTAACCCTCTACTTTGAGTGGCTCTTAGGCCTCGTATTGTGTGAACATTAGTAAAAAAAAAGAAAAGAAAAAGAAAAGCAATTGTTATGTAGATACGTCATTTGTATACCCGTATGTGTATTAATCGTTAATGGTTGGTCACTGGTATTCGAGGATACCCATCTGATAGGGCCGCTAGCTAATCCCTATTGCAGACGCTTGTTCAGGTGCATCCTATGTTTGTTCAACATCCACTGTGGTTTATACTGCAACTATGCTGAGCAGGCCTTAGAGTTTCAGGCAGAGAAGCGTGTTATCTAGCGTGATCAACAAAGTGAACAAGGCCAGCATCCTCGGTCACGATTACATGTTATTTCGTGGTCGCCTAGCCACCGACGGTACCCAAGGGTTCCGTCTACCCAATTTCACTCACAAGGCCTGGACCAACACGTGGCATGGTTTTTAGGAACTTTCCAAAAGATGCCGCAGGCTGGGATCACCTCCTCCAGACCAATGACATCAAAAAGTCACTTTTCTGACAATTCGACCATGGAGAGATTTGAACCCATGTCTTATGGTCAGAAACCACTAAGCCACGTGCATACGCATATATTTTGTATAAATATATATATTGTGTGCAAAACATTAAAAAAATATATATTGGGTATATGAGGAGCTGAATGTGAATATGTAAATACAAATTGTAACTTATTTGGATGTACCTATGGATTTCTATGTTAGGATGGATGTATATAATTCTATATTTTTTATATGTGGATATGTGAATGGTATTTATGTGTAAAAGGGTATTATAATTGAAAATATATATAAATATTTTATTAATTATATTTATGGGATATATTGAAGAGTACATGTGAATAAATACGTATATATATATATATATATATATATATATATATATATGCGCCTATCCATTTTGATCTTGGTTACTTATGTGTTTGTATATTTACCAATATCTTTTTGACAATATATTTATATGCTTGTAATTGGATGTATGTACGTGTATAATTTTTTTGTGTAATCGTTTTTTTTTATGGATATATATATATATATATATATATATATATATATATATATATATATATATATATATTCTTTTTCCCATATATGAAATGAATGACTATATTAACAGTAAGCTATAAATATTAATATTCAAAATTTACAACGGCCATTTTCCAGTCTGCATCTGACAATTTTCGCGTGCATCAATGAATAAAATGTATATTTATTTTAGTACATATATATATATATATATATATATATATATGCTAGAACTCTTCCGTCGTATTCGACGTATGAGGGTCAAGCAACTCAGTTCCTAGGAATCGACAGCCAGACAACAGCACATATGATTATGATTTCTCTGCAGAACCATACATACTTTTTGAAGGTCCGAATATAGAGACCTGGTGCACTAAGTGCCACACGGTCCCCAAACGACTCTCCGCAGATTTTGAATTGTCCTAGACCAGTTGCCATCCAAGGCTATAGAACCCAGTCTGTTCTGCTATTTACCCATAGCTGGAGGGAGAAGAAGAGGATTCATAACTTTCCCAAGGGTATTTCCACGTAAGTGAATGTAATGGATTCGACTGGAATTCGAACCTTCAGCCCGAGACCTTACCCACTACTTCATCGTGCATCCTATATATATATATATATATATATGCGTGTGTGTGTGTGTGTGTATGTTTTCATATTAGCATACAGTGTTAGTGGCTAATTGAAAATACCAGATTTGCTGATTTTCAAGGTAGGTAATAGAATCATAACTCTACACTGTACTAGACTAACACTATGTCTCACTCTCTCTCTCTCTCTCTCTCTCTCTCTCTCTCTATATATATATATATATATATATATATATATATATATATATATATATATATATATATGTGTGTGTGAAAAGTGTGTGTATATAAATATAAATAAATATATATATGTATAATTATTTATATATTATATGCGCGGTACTTATTAGAAAGCGTCCAATATCAGAGATAGAGCTAATATATATATAACCAAATATATATATACCTTTCTCTCTCCAGGCGCCGATAGCCTAGGGGATGACAAATCGGTCGGGTTTTAGTCTCGGCTTGAAGTGATCGGATGTCTGGCCACACTGATGAGCTGTGATAGAGCGAAACAGTCTGTCTGTGGATGACGATATATATATATATATATATATATATATATATATATATATATATATATATCTACCAAGCTTTCCCTGACGATCCGCTTAGGTGAAACCTTGGTAGGTTTGTCTGACTCTCTAGGTTTTACTAGGTCTGCTCTACTTTTGTATTGAGCACTTTTTTAGTTAGTTGATTACTCGTATCAGTTTTTTTTTCTTTGGGCTTTGGACCTGTATGTTGTACGATTATTTTCGACAGACGTTCATGTTCCTAGCTCTTTCTTTTTTTAATTATTTTTAATTTCACGCATGCGCGTTGCCTGTTTATGATTTTGTCGACTGCGCAGTATAGTTGGTCACTATTTGTGAGAAAAAACACCACCATGACTCAATTCACTCCGCCAGAAATTTGGAAATGGTATACTGTACTGCTTGGCATTTGCGCCCGAAGCTCCAATGCGAACATTTAAGAGTGTTTGGGTGTCAATCTGAGAACAGTGCTGAGGATTCGAAAAGAGTTGGATGAGTCTAATGGTGATTCTATTCATCTTCCCACTTCAGACTCCACACCTAGGACTACATCAAGTAGGAGGAAGTTCTACCCAGCGTCAAGAAGGTGGCTGCTGGAAGACCCTATGTCTAGCAACAGGACTCTGCACCATTCAACACAACCAGGAGAACCCAGTTATAGTTATCAGACAATTTATCCGACAACATCACTCCTTACATCTGGCCACCTAACTCCACAAACTACACCCCCCTGATTATTATGTATGGGGAGCAGTTGAGCGAGAGATCAACAAAACGTTTTGTAACACAAACGACAACGATGAACTGAAGGAAAGGATTATGGCAGCATTCACAAACTTAACTAATCTGATCACCCAGAAGAATTGCAGGAGATTCCGAAGTCGTCTGGAGGCCGATTATATTGAATAAATTTACTCTTTCGGATTTCAAAATATTTTTTGTGTTATTTTGGTAAATATATCTGTTGAAATGAGATGTTAGTGTTATTTTCATTTTTGCATAATTTAGACGACAATTTATTGATTGCGACTTGTATATATAGCTAACCAGCTACATATACATCTCAGTTTGCTCCATATCTATCTATCTATCTATCTATCTATCTATCTATCTATCTATCTATCTCAGTCTGTTTGCATCTATCTATCTATCTATCTATCCCAATCTGTATTTGTATCTATCGATCTAAATCTGTTTCTATCTATCTATCTTCATTATCTATCTATCTATCTATCTAAGTATATCCATATCTATCTATCTATCTATCTATCTATCTATCTATCTAAGTTCATTATCTATCTATCTATCTATCTAAGTATATCCATATCTATCTATCTATCTATCTATCTATCTATCTCTGTAGATCCATATCTATCTATCTATCTATCTATCTATCTAGTAGATCCATCTCTCTCTCTCTCTCTCTCTCTCTCTCTTTTCTCTATGTATCTATCTGCTTCTTTTTATATCTGTCCATTATTTGTTTTACTTTTTTAAAAAATAAAAAAAAGTATATCAAATTTATTTCCGGATATTTCAATGCATAGATACTTTAAATTTGATCGACTTTTTTATTCATTCAAGCGGAATCTATCGACCGAAACGAGTCTGTCTGAAAGAAGAAAAGAAAAATCGGATACGAATATTGACAGTTCACAAGAGACTCTCGCAGTTTAGTTAAACAAAATTATAAAACTAAAACTAGAAGCCAATAAAACCGTTGACAATCTTGACAAATACTTTCTCATCCACTTTTAGATCGAAACAGATGTAAGTTTTCTTTAAAGTGCATTGATAGCGCCAAGCTCTGTTAACCCAAGTCAAGATTATAGACGCCAATGGAGACTTCATGTAAAGTTCAACATATCCCCTCACACCATGTAACACGATTATACAAATATAAGTTATAACTCACCTGATTCTCTGGTATTATCTATAGGAAGACCTTAAACTCGATTACACAAGGAGAGATCCTATCTATCTATCTAATTAGATCCATATCCAAGTAGATCCATATCTATCTATCTATCTATCTATCTATCTATCTATCTATCTATCTAAGTTGTTCCATATCTATCTATCTATCTATCTATCTATCTATCTATCTATCTATCTATCTATCTATCTATCTATCTATCACATTAGATCCATATCTTTTATGACCTATCTGATACAGGTTTTCCGTCATCAGTCAATCGCGTAATGTATGAAAGCTCTTAAGTCGTTCGGAAAATAATGACCGGTCTTAGAATCAACTTTTAACCCTGAATTAATGTATTTAAACATTGTTTAAATCAATCAAAAGTGAAACTCTGCGCATCCATACATTTTATCCATCGAGTTACAAGTTTATTTCTGCATTTACAATAATAATAATAATAATAATAAAAAACGCTAAGAATTCTTTGAATGCAAAATTTCTGCATCTTCTTAACGACGGAATGTCTTTTGGCTTAAAATATTGTCTATATGCTTGAAAAAGTGGTAGTTAGCGAGTGAGAGATCAGGGGACTATGGTGGGCGTGGCTAAGACTCGTATCCCAAGTCGATAAGCTTCTGCAGTGTCATCCATGCAAGATGTGGCTGAGAATTGTTCTAAGTAGAATTCGATTAACTACAGCCGGTCTTACTTTTCTTAACTGAATGTGTATTTCATCCAATTGCTGATAGTAACCTTCGGCAATGCTACCCGAGTGAGATTTCAGAACGCTGTAATGGATAATGACAATGGCTGACCATAAGACCGTCATCATAATATTCTATTGGTGCAATTTTGCTTTTGGGAAGTATTTTAGGTCCTTCAGCATGATCAAGACATCGGACCGATCGTTTAAGATTATCGTAAAGGATCGATTTCTCAATGCCAGTCACTATTTGGTTAAGAAATGAACCGTTCGCATTTTGCAGATGCAGTATCGAACACATTTGGAAACGTCGAATTGGTCAACGGTCTGTTATGTTTTGTTGTATCAATAGTAGCGGTAGTAATAACGGAATATCCAACGCAAATCTTTCTTCTGTGGTTGATAAAACAAATCGTTCTTCTATGGTGGCTCACTTTATTCTGGGTAGTGGACTTAAAATAGAGAAAGTGAAAAAAAGTCGAAAAAAGACAGATTTGTTTTACTTCAACTCATCTTGGTCGAATCAGGGACAAAGCTTTCTGATTTCTAGTCGCCAAATCACCTCCGATTACACGAAAAAAAAAAATAATCTCAAATATTTATTTGCCGATTTATATATTTGCTACGCGATTAAATGTACATCAGCATCTGATGACCTGTCCTTACTTGCTTATTTGATATCATATTACCGAGTATGTCCTTTGGCCACACCATGTATGACTGTTTGGGGGTACGCTATTTTGTTTAGTCTATTACATCATTGAAAAAGGAGAACTATGACCATAGAAGGTGAGATCATTTATCCTGAAACTTTTGGTAGGTTTTGATTGGATAATATTAAGGCTTCGCTTCGCATTCTCTGATTCATGAGGGATTTCTACATTTGTTACTCCATTGATAAATAATGGGGCTCTCGCAGTAGAGGCTAGTTTTCTACAACAGTTGTAGGAGAAGGTATGATAACAGCATTGCACTCCAGTTGGTTTCTCTTCTATTTTTTTCCTTAGGTTTATTTCGGAAAAATATTTGCCTGCTATTAGGTTGTTCGTAAAATAATATCCTATTTTAAAATCAACATTTTAATTGTGTTCTAATATATTATCATAATAGTTGCATAAAAATATATTACGCATTCTTCATTATTAAAGTATTCCATTTCTTAATTACACACTACATGAGTTCAAACTTGGTCATAAAGTTTTTCAAACAGAGGCCATTAACAGAACATAGAGGGAATGTTCCGCACATCATCGTAGAATATAGTGTTGGTTTCTGAAGTTCCGCAGCGGGGATACGAGTATTGGAGATTAAAGTAGTGGAGGATATCTATCTGCAATTGACAATCAACATCTCAAAACATTATTCGAAGAAAACCGACATCAAAGTATTAGAAAAATGTCTCAGCATTTCAAAAATATCGGATCATCCCAGGAAAATTGGCAAAGTGAAGAAACTTGATAAATGGATTCCGGATGAACCCATTAAAAGTCCAAGTCTTTATTAACATTTCTTTTTTTATCATTATGATAAAAAAAAATGAATATTATTTAGTAATGTCGGTAATGTGAGTACGCGTGAAGCGATACAGTTATGTAAGGGTTATAGTGGAACACACCTATTCTATAGTTAATAGACTCTCCCACCTATAATAAGTAGGAGTAGTAAGAGTAGAAGTCGCTCAGTGGGTCACTCAGTCAGTCGATGCCGGACGACCGTTAGTCGGATACTAAAGTATCAGCGACCGCAACTAGATTAGGTGTGTTCCATTATAAAAGTAAGGCTCTAAATGTCACTAAAACATTATAACCAGAAGTCTATGCACAAGAACTATATAACAAAACTGAAGAAGCTATCTATTTTTCTTTTTAAATATTTCACTCCTAGCAAGGTGATACCATCACCAAAATGCAAGGATTTACTGAGAGTGAAAGAGAAAACGTTTGAAGAAGGAATCGACCGGAAATTCAATCATAAAAAGGAAAAAAAAGGATAGACCACTACTCCTGTTCAAAACACCGGGGAAGAGTGTGAACCGGACGATAGGCGAACCTATTTACTCCTGTTATTTAATTGGTATTATTAATACTGTATTTTACGGTGTATATTTATATACTATGAATCAATTCGTGTGACGACTTTAGAAGGAACCGGAAATCCAATCAAAAACAGGAAGCGAGGGATAGATCTCTACTTCAGTTCAAAAGAGCGGCAAAGAGTGTTATGACGAAAAAGTATTTGTATATCTCAAGTGATCTTTTGCCGAAACGTTCCGCATGAAACGTATTAATCCGTTGGAGAATAAGTTCCTGAATTTTGAAAATGTCTATTAGGCCTTCTTCACCTGGTGTTTATTTACATTTCCCATTTTTACGTGAAAATATGAATTCGTCTGGAGTGAGTATCGGTGATATTTTTTTTTTGAACCTGACTAATAAAATGATGTTGCTACAGCGTTTCCGCAACCTTACAGAGAGGATTCAAAAACGTTTCTTTTTCGAAATCCCACAACGCGACCGCAACGTTACAAGGTAACGTTGCAACTACGTTACCTCCTAAAGTTACATTAACATAAAATGCATAATAAATTTCAGGAAGATATTAGAACGTGTATTTATCATATAAATAAGTGGTTCTCAATAAAAGAAAAAAAGAAGAAAAAACTCATCATCATCATCAGACTCTCGACTACTTCAATCGTCGAAGTGGGTAGAAAAAACAAACTCTAGTTCTTCATCCTCATGAACCTATCAGTGGGATTTCATAGCTTGGCGGCGCCCATCACATCTCTGAGCTTTTATGTCTTCATTCATAAAAGGTAGAGGATTCCCTTTCGTAATTTTAGTAAGTGAGAATCGCAGTCAAGTGAAGAAAAAAATATTCTGAGGTTATTTGACCAATGCGGAATATGAAAGCTACTATATTTCGAACCTTTATCATAACTTTGCGACAACGTTTAGGATGAGCGGTCATTTTAGCTCCAGGGAAATAGTACCGTTACAGTAACGTTGCCATAGCTTCACAAATGCCCTGACTAAAATACAACACGTCTGCAACGTTGTGAGAATCTTCCGTGTTAGCTGGGGCTGCACACTGGATTCATCTAAATGATTTAATAATTATGTGGTAGAACTTTAGATCCGTACGGTTGCATATAAAAAAAATGACATATTTGGACGGCAATGACGATCTGAGTCGGCAGATCACTCGGCGAGAGTCACGGGTAGCGGTGTTGAAATCATTAATAGCACGAACGGCTTTTGTTAAGGCTTTCCAGCAGTCACAATTGATCTTCGGCGAATAATTATCAATCAACTCTGTTCTTTGAACATATTTGATGTTAACGTTCGAGTCACGATATAAGACATTATTTTTGAAGAGAAGAAACGAACCTTTGTGGAAAATCCTGATTAGAGTTAAAGAACTGATCGTGCTTAGAAAGAAAATGAAGGATAAAAAAAAATAGAACGAAGGAACAACAGAAAGAAAGACGCAGAGAAAGTGAAAGAGAAATAAGGAAGAAAAACTTAATAAATGAAAAAGGAATAGAAACGAAACAATAAATTGAAAGAATAGTACGAATTATGAAAAAAAAAAAAAAGAAATAAGAAAAGAGTGAAAGAAGGTAGAAACTAAGGAAAGAAAGAAAGAGGAAAGAAATATTAAAGAACAGAAAGGAAGGAAGGAGGACAAAAAAAAGAGAAAAGAACGAAAGAAAGAACGAACGAAAGAAAAGAGCAAAGGAATGAAAGAAAGAATGATGAAAGAAGTAAGAACGAAAGAAAGAAAAAAGACGAAAAAAGCGGGGAAGGAAAAAGTTAAAGAAAGAAAAGCGAGGGGGGGGAGAAAGAAAAATAAATGTAGGAAAGAAAAAAGAAAAGAAAGGAAGAAGAAATAAGGAAAGAGAGAAAGAAAGGAAGAAAAAAGAAAGTAGTTAGGAAAGAAGAAAGAAAAGAAAAGACAGAAATAAAGACTTAAAGCTTGAGCTGCACAAGGAGCGATTCTATCTATCTATCTATCTATCTATCTATCTATTTATGTCATTGGATTCATATCTGTCTATCTATCTATCTGATACTCTGATATTATCGATAGGAGACAGAAAACTTAAAGCTGAGACTGAACAAGCAGCGAGTCAGATAATTTGTTGCAGTGAGCAAAAAGAATCATGACAGAAGATATGAACGAAAGAAGGAAAAAAGACGAAAAAGCGAGGAAGGAAAGAATTAAAGAAAGAAAAGCTAGGGGAGAAAGAAAAATAAATGTAGGGAAGAAAAAAGAAAAGAAAGGAAGAAGAGATAAAGAAAGAGAGAAGAAAAGAAAGAACAATGAAAGTAGTTAGGAAAGGAAGAAGAAAAGAAAAAAGAAATAAAGAAAGGAAAAAAGAAAAAAAGAAGGTGGGAAGGGGCATAGAAAAAAGAAGAAAGAGAAGGAAGGAAGAAGAATAGAAAAAGGTGAAAAAGAGAAGATTGTAAGCAAGCAAGAAATAAAGGAATAAGGAAAAAAGTGAGAAAGGAATATAAACAAGAAAGGAGAGAAAAATGGACGAAAAAAGAGAAAGAAAGAAAAGAAAGAAAAGAAA